AAATCAGAAGGTCCACGGAAGTTTAAATATACATGAATGGCTGAGATCTCAGAGCTAGAGGGCAGCAGATTGGAACATAGAACGTCTCTTGATTTTGGCTCCAAGGTCCTCGCACACAGCAACTGTACCAGTCTGCTTCTGCCTAGGCTGGAGATTAACATCACCACCTACCTCTATCATTCAGAGTTGGTTCACTGTTCTGACTTTATTCTCTGTGGTGATGAGGCCAGGAAGTGGTACAATTTAACCTGCTGGATTTAGCCTGGGCTAGGATATTGCTGCCCATGGGATATTGGTGTTTGTGTGATGCAAGGAGTACCGTGCTCATCGGTCCATGGGAGTTTGTCTGTTTTTGAGTGGAGTGTTTCTTAACAGTTTATAAAGAGCTTCCCAACATATTAGACCTTTTCAGCCACTGGACACCAGAAGCTGATACTGAAAAGACTCTTGGGAACAGAGTCCAAGACTGGTTTGAGAGAAAGGTAAAAACTATCTTGGGCCCAGAGATGGAAAGAGATTGTAGTTATGCTACACATACTAGAAGGAACTGAGATTTTTTTTAACAGTACAAAGCAAAGAGTCATAAATTTGCCCAAATTTTACGTTAGTAAGAATTAATACCTCAATTCTCCTGCATAGAGACCCCAGAGCAGATTCTTTCATCAGTGCTTCCTACTTCCTCCATCATGTTCAGGTGACAAAAGTGTTTATGTGGGCTTCACGAATGATTGGAAGACACAAATAGTAGCTTCCGAGGCTTATAACTTCTTGTCCAGAAGACAGAAAGATGAGAAATAGCCTTCTCTAGAGAAATATCCAATGTTATGAGAGTGGAGAAACACCTACAAAATATTTAAGGAGATACAATGTGAGTCAAGAATTTTATATTCAGCTAAGATGTATTTTGTGTCAAAGACAGTGTATTCACACCAAAATGTATTACACAGCATTTAAAAGGAATAGAGGTCCTGGGTAGAAAAGAAACTTGCTATTAATTGTTATTAACTGGTACCTCCGATGCCATTAAATTACTTTCCATGTTTGAAATATTTAACAATTTCAAACGATCTTTTTGATGTGCAGAGAAGATAAGCATTATATGGGTCAATGATTACTTTCTATCAGAGTTACTTTTCTAGTCGCAGCGGAGCACAATTTTTGTCATCTTTCTCTTGTATTTACTTCTGATGCTTCTTTTCTTACCCCTAAAATAAATTGTATTATACTGAAGTAGAATTCTATCTTGACTCTTCACCTAGATGTAGATCTGTCGGTACTTGCAGGAATTCACAGGAGATATCAGGCAAAAAACTGATTTTAGTAATTTATGTCAAAAGTGTTTTCCCTGAGGGGAATTAAAGCGAGAGACGGAAAACCCACAGCAGGTTTCCCTGAGACTTGAACTCAGATTGCTGCATTTAGAGTCCAGAGTGCAAACCATCACACTATGGAACCACCACAATTGAATAGCTCTTGGTTACCTGTGATATGTTATAGAAACTCTACTGAAAGCATTTAGTTTGTCCAAGTCAAAAATTCTTAGTGTAAGTCCATTCTCTACACTCGTCTGAAGAAAACCTTTGCCCGGGGGAGGGGTTATTTATTTACTTATTCCACCAATTACATTAAGCCATAAAATATTTTTTCTCTTTTAATTAACTCAGAAACTTGGTGGTCCTGGGCCTTGTTTGCTTTCTTAAGAAAAACTGTGTGATTCTTATACATATGTAAGAACTGGACTGAATGTCTTATACTCATTAAGTGATTTAATGCTTAAAAATTAGGTGAAGTGGGTTTTAGTCCCCATGTAGATGGGGAAACTGAGGCTTGAAGATCTCATTTCTTTTATCTGCAACTTTGCTCAACTTTTGTTACTTGATATTTTTCTCCACATAGATTATTTAGTTATCAGGTCTATTGCCTCTAGGCAAACAAGCTTTAATATGTTGATTCTAATATTATTTTCACAAAATTATTAATGACTTTTTGCCCCAGGCTAAAAATCCCTGCATTTGGACTTCCCTTCTTTTTTTTTTTATCATGTAGTCCTGTATTAATAGTAACTTTTTAAGAAAACAAATCAGTCAAGTGAAAAAGCTGCTAAAGAAACATCCTCTTTAAATTGAGGCTGCATGGCTCATTAACCTCAACATTGTAAATTAAGAGGCAAAGGTGCACCCACGCATGAAGTTGAAATTCTAGTCAAACCAGTTCCAAGTGTCTCTCTCCTTTCAGAGTGGTTATGGGATGTGGGTTCCTTAGGATGCAGTTTTGGGAGACTATAGAGTCAGCCATCTCTAGGTCAGGCCGAGTGGATGGAACCAGGCTCATTTTTAAGCAGACAGTGATTGGAACCTCTACTGCAGCATCTCCTCAACCCTTATCCACAGTTTCTCATGAGAAAAAAATATATATTTGAATTATATTTTTCCCATTTCTTTTGAGAAAGGAAACTTGTAAAAGTATGTCTAAGTAACAGTATTTCTCTTAAGTCTCAATGAATATTCTAAATCCTGTATAAAATAAAGTCAGATTTTTTTTTTCTCCTAGGCTTCTCTTGTCACAGTTGTTCACTTGGAGGTAGTGCCTGATATTTCCAAGTCATACTACATAAATTATGCTATATCCAGAATTTCTTGCTCCTAGAACATCAAAAGATAGAAAAAAAAAAACAGGATTTGATGGAAGTAAAAGGAGAAACTGATAAAACCACAATTACAGTGGAATATTTTAGCACGATATACCTCTCTGAAAACTAATAAAAAACATAAATGGAAAAATAACCATCAGACAAAGTAATACAATTCACATAACATACATATATAGAGAACAGTGCATACATTAACTCCAGGATTTAAACTTTTTTCAAACACACATGGAATTATCTCAAATTTGACATTTTACTAGACCACAAAGTAAGTCTCCAAAAACATAACAGGTTAGATACATCTATGATTTCACAGTAATAAAATTATGCCAGAGATCAAAACATAAAAATTAAAAAGTGTATTTATTTGCAAAACAATAAATATAGTTCTAAATAATTTGTGGTTTAATGAAGAAATCACCATCAAAATTAGGAACTATTTTGAAATAAATGATAATAAAAATTGTACATATCAAAACATGTCGTATGCAAATAGAAGTGCACTTAGCCGGACATCCTTAAATACATGTATATAAATAAAATAAATGCTTAAGAATAACAATCTAAGCAGCCATGACATGCAATTAGTTCAACCACTAATTTACTCCCACAGGAACTTTAGGGAAAGAAATAATGAAGCAAAGAGCAGATATTAATAATGCAATTGAAACTAAATACAAAATAGAGACTATCAACAAAGTCAATAAAATGACAATCTCTTTTTATCTTTTTTTATTGTGATAAAATATACAAAACATAAAAGGTATTATTTTAACCATTTTTAAGCATGCAGTTCAGTGGCATTATATACATTGCATTATTGTGCAACCATCACCACCATCTATCACCAGAACTTTTTACATCTTCCCAAACTGAAACTCTGTACCCATTAAACAATAAGTCCCCATTTCCCCTGAATTTTTGATAACAATACCATCAGGTTTTTGTGCGGAGATTGATAAATTGATTTAAAAATATTATGAAAGTGAAAAGGGCCAAAGTAGCCCAAATCATTTTAAAGAAGGAAAGTAAACTTAGAAGACTTACTTTACCAAATATAAAGACATAAAGGTAATATAATTAAGAAAATATGACATTGTCCAAAGAAAGGCAATATCACTAAATAGAATTGAGACTTAGATCTCCACATTTAAAAAAGCAAAGATCTCCCTTGCTTTATGACCAAGGGCGCACTGCAGAAATATGGACTAAGAATAGTCTTTGCATAAATCGTGAATATCTATAAGGAAAAAAGTGATTAAATGACTGTTCACAAGGAAAAATGATAAATTTACTTATTTCACATTAACCACAAAGCCAATTCCAGCTAGACTGTATATCTGAATGTAAGTAAGCAAACAAACAAATAAAGCTTCTGGAATATAACAAAGAGGAAAATCTTCATGACTTTGACCCAGGGAAATATTTTTTTAAATTTGACATTAAAATATTAGCCATAAAGAGCAATCCTTTTCATCTAGATTCTGAAGTCCTTCAGTTCTGAGAATTTTTCTTGTATGTCTTGATAAAATTCTCCTCTATTTTTTTTCTCTTTTCTTTTGCTGCAATTTCCAGTAATCAGATGATATTAAATCTCCTGAATTGGTTGTTCAATTTTCTTTTTGCTATTATTTTCCATCTTTGATGTTTATCCACTTTTTTGGAAGTCATTCTAAACTTTGTCTTCCAAACCTTCTGTTAAATGTTTTTCCTGCTATCATATTCTTTATTTCCAAGAGATCTTGGTCTCTTATTATAATTTAAAAAACAAAAAAACAGTATCCCAAGTCCCTATTTCCAGGAGAGATAGAATAGGTATGTTTTATTTTTTTCTCCCATTGAATACAACTAGAAAACATGGACAGAATGTGTGAGGCAACTATTTGAAGACTCTGAAAACAAAAGGGCAAGAAGCAAGCGTATGGAAAAAGAACACCAACATTACTTTGTTCATTCTCTCCAAATTGATCTATAGATTTAATGCAATTGTTGTCAAAATCCCAGCAGGATTTTTTGGAGAGAGTGAAAATATGCTTCTAAAATCTATATGGATAAGGCAAAGGAACTAAAAAGACTAAATCAATGTTGGAAGAGAAAAATGAAACGAAAAATCACACTACCTGATTTTAAGACTTACTATAAACTTCAGTAATCAAGATAGTGTGGGAGCGATTTAGTCTGTGGCGAAGCGTCGGGACCGCAGGAACTGTTGAGAGCGGCAAGTGGAGGCGCCGCCCTAGCGGCTAGGACTCTGAACTATGGCGACTAGTGATACAGAACGAGATGGACTAGCCCCAGAAAAGACAACCCCACACAGAGATGATAAAAAAGAGCAGTCAGATGTATCTGTTTCTCCTAGAGCCTCAAAGCATCATTATTCAAGATCACGATCAAGGTCAAGAGAAAGAAAACGAAAATCGGATAAAGAAGGAAGAAAACACAGGAGCCGGAGCAGAAGCAAAGAGGCAAGAAGACATGAATCCAAAGATAAATCCTCTAAGAAACACAAGTCTGAGGAACATAATGACAAAGAACATTCTTCTGATAAAGGAAGAGAGCGACTAAATTCATCTGAAAATGGTGAGGACAGACACTAACGTAAAGAAAGAAAGTCATCAAGAGGCAGAAGTCACTCAAGATCTAGGTCTCGTGAAAAACGCCATCGTAGTAGAAGCAGGGAGAGGAAGAAGTCGCGATCCAGAAGCAGGGAAAGAAAACGGCGGATCAGGTCTCGTTCCCGCTCAAGATCAAGACACAGGCATAGGACTAGAAGCAGGAGTAGGACAAGGAGCAGAAGTCGAGATAGAAAAAAGAGAATTGAAAAACCAAGAAGATTTAGCAGAAGTTCAAGCCGGACTCCTAGTCCACCTCCCTTCAGAAGCAGAAACACAGCAATGGATGCACAAGAAGCTTTAGCTAGGAGGTTGCAAAGGGCAAAGAAATTACAAGAACAATGAGAGAAGGAAATGGTTGAAAAACAAAAACAAGAAATAGCTGCAGCAGCTGCAGCTACTGGAGGTTCTGTTCTGAATGTTGCTGCCCTGTTGGCATCAGGGACACAAGTAACACCTCAGATAGCTATGGCAGCTCAAATAGCAGCCCTACAAGCTAAAGCTTTAGCAGAGACCGGAATAGCTGTACCTAGCTATTATAACCCAGCAGCTGTGAATCCAGTGAAATTTGCTGAGCAAGAGAAAAAAAGGAAAATGCTTTGGCAAGGCAAGAAAGAAGGAGACAAATCCCAATCTGCTGAAATATGGGAAAAATTGAATTTTGGAAACAAGGACCAAAACGTGAAATTTAGGAAATTAATGGGTATTAAGAGTGAAGATGAAGCTGGATGTAGCTCAGTTGATGAAGAGAGCTACAAGACTTTGAAACAACAGGAAGAAGTATTCAGAAATCTAGATGCTCAGTATGAAATGGCAAGATCACAAACCCATACACAAAGAGGAATGGGTTTGGGTTTCACATCTTCAATGCGAGGAATGGATACAGTTTGAAAAAGTTCACACATGTAAAGTTTGGGACTTTATAGACTTCCTCCTCTGATGTCAAGTCCTTGTTCACCAAACAGCTAGCATTCTAGTTTGCATGGGTGTTGTATTGACTTTAATTTATTGAAAAATACGATTTTTTGTAAATATCAGATCAGTGATACTGGTGTTAGTGTTGTAATCAGGTTAAACCCACTTCCATTAAACTTGACAGGCCTATAGAAGGACAATATTTTTTAGTTCATAAATTCTACTTTTCAAATATCTAAAAGCTGCAGGTGGGATAAAATCTCATACATGAATTTTTTCGTGTCCGCTGTCTTGTGTACTTTTGTACTTAACCTTGTACAGTTATTTTCATCTTTTGAACATGAAAGAAATGTTATGTAGATGTTCTTTAGAAGATCTGGCCATTTGGTTACATAATCCAGCACAAATAAGCTGGGTGGTGATGATAATAAAAATGGTTTTCTCAAAAAAAAAAAAAAAAGATAGTGTGGTATTGGCAGAAAGATAAACATATAGATCAATTGATCAGAATGGAGAGTCCAGAAATAAACTTACACAAATATGGCTAATTGGTTTTTGACAAAGGTGCAAAAAAAAATCAATGAAGAAATAATAATCTTTCAATAAATAACATTGGGACAATGTGATATTCATACGCAAAGGAAGTTAGGGAGAGAGAGAGGAAGGAAGAAAAGGTGGAAAGGAGAAAGGAAGGAAAGAAGGAAGGAAAAATGGAAGGAAAGGAGGTAAGTAAAGAAGGAAAGAAATCCTGGCATAAACCTCACAATTTAAACCGAAATTAACTAAAAATTGACCATAGATATAAATGTAAACATAAAATAAAACTTTTAGAAGAAAACATAGCAGAACCACATGACCCTGAGTTGAATGATGAGTTCTTAGATATGGCACTTTCCATAAAAGAAAAAAATAATAAATTGGGCTTCATCAACATTTAACACATTTGCTCTACAAAAGACACTGTTAAGACAATGAAAAAAAGAAGCTTAAAATTGACAGAAAATATGTGAAAATCATGTATCTGACAGAGGACTTGAATCTAGAATATATAAGGAATCCTCAAAACTCAGCAATAAGAAAACAACCCAATAAAAAAATGGGCAAAAGGCACAAACAGACATTTCATCAAAGAGCATATAAGGAGGTAAATAAACACACAAAAAGATGTTTGACATCAGCTATCATTATGAAATGCGATTGCTCACACCTGTAATCTTAGCACTCTGGGAGGCCCAGGTAGGAGGATCTGCTTGAGGTCCTCGAGGTTAGGAGTTCAAGACCAGCCTTAGCAAGAGAGAGAACCCATCTCTACTAAAAATATAAAAATTAGCTGGGTGCGTGATGGCGTGCACCTGTAGTGCTAGCTACTCTGGAGGCTGAGACAGGAGGATTGCTTGAGCCCAGGAGTTTGAGGTTGCTGTGAGCTAGGCTGAGGCTATGGCACTCTAGCCTGGGCAACAGAGTGAGACTCTGTCTCAAAAATTAATTAATTAAAAAATGAAATGCAAATTAGCATTTGTTATTGTTTTAGTTACGTAGAAGGTAGCATTATAATCTCTGAGACAGCATACTTTTGGTTACAAGGAATGAAAACCCAATTTAAAGTAACGTAAGTGAAAAAAAATGTTTTTTTAAAAAAGGAATTTCTTAAAAGGGTTTATGGAGGTGTGTCTCTTAGAAGCCATGTTCAATGTATCAGTCAAGATCCCAACAAGAAACAGATGGCACATTCAATTTAGGATAATTCAAGGAGGGCTTATTTACAAAGGGACTAATAACAAAAGTGTTGGCAGGATATGAGGAGCTACAGGGACAGGGCAGGACCCTTACCCAGGAGCAACAGAGCTGTCACCAGACAGGATGAGAGGAGGGAAGGGTACCAGAGCCTGAAGGAAAGAAAGTCATGAATACCTGGTTGCTTTCTGTCAGGAGCCCAAAGAACCTGGGGTGACCCCTCATGGAGAGAACAGGGAAAAAATACCCTGACCCCACTTTCCTCCTCCTCTCCAATCGCCTGCTGGGCTTCCCTGTTGATAAAATGCAGGAGAGTATTCTGAAGCAGAGAGGAGGGTGGAGAAGGGTAAAGGGTAAGCCTGGAGAACAAGTGGAAGATGCCCAGCACAGAGAGGCCAGCGGTCAGGCTTTAGGAATGGATGAAAACTCCAGGCTTGGAAGCCATCAGCAGAACATACATGCACGTAGCCTCAAAATCTCTCTCCCAAAATAGATATTAATGCTGTGGTGGTTTGAATATGTATATGCCACATTTTAGATCACTCCGGAATCTAAACTTTAATTTCCCTCCCCTTAACAGTAGACTCGACTTAGTGACTTGCTCCTAACGAACAGAGCATGGAAAATAAAAATGTGTAACTTACCGGTAGAGAGGCTTGGCAGATGCTACCTAACCAAGCAACCAAGACCGTCATCACCAGTCACAAGTCACACCAACAGCATGTGCTTCCAGACATACTGCAATGAGAAGGGCACCTCACCTGTGTGGAATTCTTCCCCCAGCCAAATTAGGAGGAAAAACATCAGATAAACCCTGATTATGAGGCATTCTATAAAATACCTGGCCAGTA